CCGCTGTGCATATGAAAGAATATCAGCTAGTAGTATGTAGGTACATTTTCATCTCAGACAATAGTGAACTTGTTATGCACCCTGGTGTGTCGATGAGGTACGTATCGACCAGGGGGGTGTTAGGTTATGTTTAGACGGTGGTCCTATAACAGTTTTAAACGATAAGACATAGATATGGATAAGTTTTTTGTGCGGTACTTCTAGATTTTGAATACTAGGTATTGTTTATTTCCTTTACAGTGATTTGATATACTTAATTGGCATTTATTTTGTTTGTCTTTCGTTACATTACTATAGTTTGAAAAAGTACTCGCTTTTGTACTTTACTGTTGTTTTAAATTAACTTTTGTAGGTTTAAGTTTTTGTTTAAAGATGTTTATAAAAATGTGGGCAACTTGAAATAAGATAGATTTAATTGTATTTTTTTTAATTCTTTTTATGTAGTTGTTATTCATTTATTTATTGGGATGATTAATTATTAGATATAGAAAATGAAAATAGAAAAGTTTGATTTTCATCGTCCAACCGTTTATTCCCGCTTTGAAAATTTCAAACCTTTTGGCCGGGTCATAACAATTAGTGGGGATCCTGATGAGTTTCTAGTATGTGCTTATAATTGTAGCTATATTGCACACCGAGTGCTCCACTTCACAAAGTGTGTCGCAGTGCAACGAAGTGCTTTTGAAAACACATGCAAATGCATACACACTCAAAAGGAAAGAAAAAAAAAGTAGACATTTCTCCTAAGATTATAATAGTCATTCAATTTGGTTTACGGATGGTCCACTTCATATAAACTTCATACTTTGTATCACACTTTTGATTGTGTATATGTCATAAAAAGTATATATGGATCAAGTTTCACTATTTTCTTTGATGATTTAATGATTAATCAAGTATATATGCAAGTATGTTCGCATGGCACATAGAAGCCTCTTTAAAATTCTATTTTTTCTTGTGTTTCACTAGTTAAAACTATTAATTTTTAGCAAGATATCATCAACATCCCATGTATTTGTTACCATGCCATTTGAAATTCCTTGCAACCTGAAATTACAATTATCTCGTTATGCAATTTTTGTTATTCATTATGATTTTTTTTATGTATACAATTGGCGATCAAACAAAAAATTTTTATTTTCATGCATTCCTTGTTTTAATGATATTAAAAGAATGAATGATTTTGATCCTAAATTTGATGTTGATAGCATCAAATTTTATTTGTTTGGTGAATGGTGATTCCCCTTTTAGGGGAAGTCTATCAGTATATCTGTTGGATAGCTTTCATGCAATTTATTTATTTGTTGGCATTGTGGTCATTCATGGCTATTTTATGATCATTTTTTTCCTTTATTTTTTTATTTATACACAGATTTTGTGAAATTAGAATTATCACCTGATACATCTATAAAGAAGAATGAAATGTGATTGGGTTTAAACAGCTGGGATATTGTTGCATTTGATTATGAGTTTTGTGTTTGAAGGATACCTTCATTCCTTTCTATTCTTATTATTGAGTTATTTTTTATAAACACAGTACATTTTCTCTCTATGTTAGATATCTGGTCATGATGGAGGAACTGGAGCTAGTCCTGTAAGTTCTATTAAACATGCTGGTGGGCCATGGGAGCTTGGATTGACAGAGACACATCAGGTGGGCTTATGAAATTTATCTTTATTGATGACATAACATTCCATGTATTAATCTTCATATTGTCTGATATTTGATGATATCCTTGCAGATTCTCATCGAAAATGGACTGAGAGAAAGGGTTATCCTGCGGGTTGATGGTGGATTCAAGAGTGGATTTGATGTCCTTGTAGCCGCAGCAATGGGTGCTGATGAGTATGGATTTGGGTCTGTAGCTATGATAGCAACAGGTTGTGTGATGGCACGCATCTGTCACACAAATAACTGCCCAGTTGGAGTCGCAAGTCAGGTACTATTGGGCAATTCTATTATTTTCTGTTTATAACATTCGAAATAAGTTTTCTGGGTGTTATTTCAGAGAGAGGAGCTTCGTGCTCGTTTTCCTGGTGTTCCTGGTGATCTCGTCAACTATTTCTTGTATGTTGCTGAGGAGGTAAATTAGAAAGTTGACATTAACCAAGCATTTTTTTTCAAATGTCAAATTAGCATGCTTTACTTTTCAGTTGGTGTCTGCCCTCAAGCCTATTATTTCATTCTGGAGAAAAATTCATGAGCTGTTGTTTAACTAGGTGAGGGGCACTTTGGCTCGGCTGGGTTATGAGAAGATGGATGACATAATTGGAAAAACTGAATTGTTGAGACCAAGACAAGTCTCTTTAACAAAGACTCAACACATTGATCTCAGCTATATTTTATCGGTACAATTAGTGTAATGAATATATATAAATTATATAATACAGTTATAACCTTCTGTGCATGTTGTACATGGTAAAACATAATTTACTACTGTTGTTGTCTAGAGCGTTGGCCTACCAAAGTGGAGCAGCACTGAAATAAGGAAGCAGAATGTCCACACAAATGGTCCAGTCTTAGATGATCTTATACTATCTGATCCTGAGGTGAGAAGATTTCTGCTATTGTTAATTAATGCTAAGATAGCATTTTTGGTTTGGAGCACCCACCCCATCTCTACATAAATGAGTATGTGAATTATTGCTACTGTGCTTACCTGTCCTTACGTTGACACAGATCAAATTTAGATTTTATTATTATTATTATTGTAATTGTTTGGTTGAAATTATTTTCCTTACGTGCTCCCAATTTGCTTTAAACCATAATTTTGCTGTTTTCTTTTCAAAAGGTAATAAAAGGATAAAGACTAGTGAGCATTTTCTATCATTAGATTTCTCCTTTTTTATGTAATTTGTATTATCTAGTTTTATTGATGCACTAGTTTGACTTCATGTACTTGAGACTATGTAGTGGTAAAATGAATCTATTTAGTAGACATATGAAAAGTTTTTTTATGATGAGGATGACAGAATATAAATATCACAGGACATTGAAGGTTTACATATATTTATGAATTAGGTTTAAAAAAAAAAACTTTTAACTTTGACTACTTCAGGATTACTTTCAGAAATCCAAAATAATTATATTTTTTGACCCTTTTTTAGCACTAGACCAACAATGATGACTTTTTTCTTGGATAGGGCTACGATTAACAATGGCTTCTCTAACAAATGGTTTCTCTATTTTTCCTTTGCTCGAGTGTTGTATTTTTGTGCTATTCTTCAGTGGTGTTTGTAACCTGATTTGAGTCTAGGTGATAAACTCTCCCCGACATCCAAAGACCTGCATATTCAGCAATTTCTCCCTACCGGTTGTCTTATTGTAGACAGCTACTATCTAACAACTAGTTGAGCCAGATCCTCAATTGTCATCGTTTCCCCTTTGATTCTCATCTTACAACCTCTTTACTTCTTACTTCTATCTTTATACACTGTCTGGGAATCCTAAATCACTGTCATGTATTATTAGAGCCATCCAAATCCTAAATCTTTAGGGATGCATTATTCCTCACTTTAAAACCTAAATCTCATAACCTAATCAATTTATTCAAGCATATTTTTAACCCCAAAACCTCACCCTCCCATCTTTAGCCACCCCAAATTCGCCCTTCCTATCTTTGTTGGAAACCTTAAATGGGCAAAACACACAATGCCGCTAAAAAGAAACATGCAAAGGGGTGTCCAAGGGTTCACAATAGAGGATATGTAGAGAGAAATTCTCCAACAACCTGGAGAGATCACACATAAACATAATGGTGCCTCGTCAGATCGAGATGAGATTCAACTTATTCCACAAGGAGTTTTCTAGTGATGAAGAACCAATGTGCTAGTGATTTCACTCTAAATTTCAGAGAAGAGGTCATAACTTTGGAATGAAAATTAACTTGTCTGAGTTTGACATCATGAGTTTGGATAGGTTTATTGAATAAAGTGATGAAGAACCAATGTGCTAGTGATTTCACTCTGAATTTCAGAGAAGAGGTGATAACTTTGGAATGAAGATTAACTTGTCTGAGTTTGACATCATGAGTTTGATAAGTTTATTGAATATCTCCAAATGATGGAATGAATTTTTTAGTAAAATGTGAGGCTTATGCAAGTTAAGTTATTGAATATCTCCAAATTAGAAATGTGAGGTTTATGCAGTTACATATTCACATTAATTTTTTCATATAAATTCAATTTGTCACATTTTAATATGCTGAAATTGCATAAGTTATGATGCTAATGTGTCATTTTTACAACTTTTTTTTTACTTGTGCAATTTTCAAACTGTGAGGCTTATGCCAGGCCTTCTCGAGACTTGCGTCTTTCCTCACGAATAGAAAGCATTTGAATACCCAGTTACATAATACATTGGTAACCATGATGCTTATTACATTATATTGTATTGTTTATGGCAATCCAACCATGGTACACATCATGATGGCCACAAGAGCACATATTTATTAAGATTGGTAATTGCATCATACTTTACCTTGGAACAAGTTCGAGTTGATGAGCAACCACAAAATCTAAGACTATGATGTTATACACTTTTTTTTAAGCTTGAGAGGAGCACAAGTAGGATTAGCATTGGTAGTTCTTGATGGCAATGTGTCAAGGAATTAATACTAGATATAGTGCAACTCCTAAAAAAGATTTAGGATGTTCTGGCTAACAGTCTAACCTCCTGGTTTGCCACCACTAAGAGATTTACCATGTCATAGTTTTCATTTCAAAAATAATTCTCTTAAATTGACCTACCTATTGGTTGTAATTTATTGTGTACGAATAAAAGTAGGTTATAGGTTTGATTTGCGAGTGTACTAACCAGTTTATAGTTTTAGCTCTGATTGTGTTAAATAAGGATGACTCTTGACTAATATGCATTGGTAGTAGGGTTGTAAACAAAATCACTATAAGTGTTGATTCCTTATTCTATGCTTGGATGATTTGTTTGATTAGTTAAATGGAGCTATCATTTTTTTCTAAGGCTAATTTACATTAGTGGCTATCACTGGATCAAGATGAGATCAGGAGATGAGTGAAAAATAACTTTTAAAACTAGGGATGGACCATGGGACAGTCATGCCCTTTTACTTATCTAATATATTGAGCATTTTCATGCAGTTGATTTGCTAGATTTTTTTGGCATTCATCGAAAAAATCATATTCATATATTTGGATGATACTTTGGCATATTGTCATATTGTGGGGGATCACTCACATCACTTATGAGAGACTTTTAAGGTGCTTCGGATCCAATAGTTTAGGCATTTCCACTCCCAAATATTGGCCTCCAACATGGATCTTCTTAGTCATCTGAAGACCTCTTATGCCTTCAACAATCGCTCCATACCAATTGTCTTCCTCTTGACATTTGTTGTACATCTGTTGGTTGCTCTAGAATTTCAGTTGTGGTGAGCATTTCCCCTTTGTTTCTCTCCTTTAGCCTCCTTACCCCTTTCTTCGATCCTTATACATCATCTAAGAATTTTAGATTGGTGTTAGTTCTTTTTATACAATAAAATTTTTAAGTTAAACTTTTCAAGCGGAGTAATTTTGAATTTGAGCGCACATCAAAAGTATCCAAGTAAATGGTTGATGTGGTTTTTTGTTAACATGATGCTAAGTCACTAGAGTCTTTAGTTGTGCAGTAGAATTCTTAGTGTAAAAAAGCTACACGACAAAAACTAAGTCAAAATAATTGAAGGGTTGAATCAACTACACAAGTTGTCTACACAAGTTGTTGAAGCACGGACAGTCAATTGTCAGCTAGCAAGGCATGGGCGGGCAAATGGAAGATGGTGCATCATGGGCCAACTAATTATTGTTGCTAATAGAGGTCCATAAGAGCGAAGCTGCACACAAGTTAGCGAAAGCGAAGCTCCACACAAGTTAGTGAAACATAATTCTACTAGATACTGGTTGGCAATCCGCGGGCAGTAAAAGGTTTGATTCATTGTATCTTTGTTGAATCTTCATGGGGTCCTTATGTCATGCCCGATATTATTACCTCTGTTAGTATTACTGTTACAGCGGAGGAGTTGCATCGAGTTGGAGAGGCGTGAACATTTCTTCTTTTTTAAGAAGAAACAAAACCCCCATTTTGAATGAGAACAATTTTGACATCTTGAGAAGAAAGTAGAGATGTCATAGTAAGAAGAGTGAGAACAATTTTGACATCTTGAGAAGAAAGTAGAGTTGTCATCGAGAGGAAGAGAGAGTAAGAAGAAGGTGATGTTGACTCTGATCGTGAATAGATGAGAGGCTGATTGACACGTATGAAGGCAATGATTGAGCGGTGAGCGACTCAAAGGAGGAAGAAGTGATGGGATCATATGCTAGTTTGAACAAGGCACACAAGTAATCGATCATCATATGCGATCCTTTGTTTGGAAAGAGGATGACCAGTGCCGAGGGTGATGACTCTAACGATCGAAGCTAAATGATGTGACACTATCGAGCTTGTGAGGGCGACAAAGCTGCTTCGCCATGTTACGGCTCAGTCTAATAGCTTATAATTAACTATGTCAGGTACAATGGTCGGATTGTTAAAATATTTAAATAACTACCAACAAATTTATAGAATCTGTCAATATATAAATAAACCACTAAAATTCCTAAAATTCCTAGAGTATAATAAAATCAAAACATTCAAAAACAACATAATCTGAAGATATCTCAAACTAGTATATAACGGTATATCACTATCTGAAAAAAATAGTACAAATGAACTATCATTATAAATACCTAGCAGTAGCGGTCCTCCTATAAAAATCAAGTCTCTCTTACTAGATATCAACCTATAACTTTACTTTTCCTAAAAGTAAATTAAATACAACAATATATATGACTTAGTGAGCAATTATAATCTTAATATGTATTAAATTATTATGTCAATGTGATGCATGGATAACCAAAAGAAAATACAGTTCATTACTTTATAAAACGGTAAACTTTCACTTTAATTTTCTCTTTTTGTTTCACTTTAAGGATTTATCATTTTTAAAATTTTTAAGAGCCTTGACATGTTTACTGTCATATCCGAATGTAGCCTAAAAAATATACCAAAAGGTACTATAAAAAATGTTCTTAAAGGTAACATAAAAAAATAATATCTGAAAGTACATTTTTACCATTTCCTTTATCATGCACGGGTAAATCTTATCTCTTGTCAGTACCATCTGGGGATAATCATGTATGATGATTATTTCATTTCATATCGATTTAAAATTATTTTAAACTATTTAATAAAGTAATTATTTCATTATTAAATGTTAAATTAATGCATAAAGGAAAATATTTACTAACCTTGACTTAAAATACCTCTAAAAAACTTTAAGCCTTCACTTTACTTTCTTTGACTGACACTTATATCAGTTAAAAGTGGATATGACTATAAGAATCATATCTTGAAGAAAGTCTTAAATATAGTTAACTTATTTGAGTATTTAAAAATGATTAAAAAAACTAGCCTCTTTTAACCTTAAAATTATGTCTTTCTCAAATCTCAAGAATTTATCAGTCGTCTACATACTTTATAATTACATGAAAAATTAATA